TATGGTTGTCACGGGATAGTCAATTGTGGCCTTTGCTGCCTTAAAATGTATGAGTACCTTATAGAACCAACGTACCATCCACGACTCATCTAGTCCTGAGATATGGGCGTTCTTCAGTGCCTCTTCTAGCGTCCCTCGTGTGTCTCTATCGGCTGTGCTGCTTAATGAGGTGCCACGCGGTACAGACGGTACGGTAGTGCAGGTAGTAGAAGAAGTAGGCGATTATGAACTAAATTTAGATTTAGATGAAATACACAATATTTCACCGGAGTCTATACGAGAACATAAAAGATCACCCGTAACTAGGCAGAACAGATCAGATCGATAACGGATTCGTTAAAGTACGTTCCAAAAATCCATATTATTCAGATAGTCCTAGGAGATCCGAAAGATATAGACGGCGATCCACTGAAAGTTTCGAGGGTCCACACACTCTATTGAGAATACAGCACCATGAGAGAGCAAAGAAAAAAAATCCGCAAGGATATATCACGACTTTCAATACAAAGAAAGATTTTGTAAATATAGCAGCATTTGGTGCAGTAACGGGGGTAGCAGGAACGAAATAGAGATTCAGAGAAGTAGTAGACTATTTATTATCAGAAGACAACGTCGCCGAGGGGAAATTTGAGGTCGAGACAATGGCCGACCTAGTAATGTGGTACAAAAAATTGTATGTTTGACAACCACGATATTGCGTTTTATTGGATAGATATAACCGAGCGATTATTACTTGCACCATCATGGGCCATAGAGAAAAAGATAAGGGTAGTAACCTTGTTAGGCATCCAACGCCGGCCATCTGGAGTGTTGTTACAACAAAAGAGAGGGATTCAGCCAAGTATGTTTTCTCATACAGTGCCCCTGTGAACCAGACAAATTTAGCAACAGGTCGTACTAAATTTTTCACTCAACACGTGTGCTTGCACGAAAGACATCTGTCAATTGCCGATACCGATGAGTTGGACACAGCAACTCACTGGCAGTACAACCAGTTGTACTCGTAAACTACTATTAAACTACTACCCCTACTACTACTACTCCTACTACTACTACTCCTACTACTACTACTACTACTCCTACTAATCTCGAAACAAAAAAGTATCAAATGAATAAAGCTACTACTACCCACACTACTTATCGGAATTATCAAATGAACAAACCTACTGCCCACACTACTTATCAAAATAATCAAAAAAAAATATAATTATTCCTACATCAAAATGAAAAACTATAAAAATCTTCACGTAGGATTCGAACTAATGACTTTACACCACACAATAGTAGTGGTAATATAAATTTTTTAAGGATATATAGTATTCTATATAGTAATATAACTACTGACCTGGTAACATAAAATACATTACATGCTTATCACTACACCACACATTAGTAGTAGCAGAAGCAGTTTTTAGGGTAAATATAACCCTATACAAAAATACTACCCATATTAATATTTACTACTAAATACTACCCATTTTGAATGAAATATACTACTACTATGTATTTTTATTTATTGCTCTCTCTTTAAGAAGCTTTGATATGTATATAGTATGTTATCAGAAATCACTGCGGTCACGACTACTGTATCGTTCATTCGATTCACTGCGTTTGCGATCACTTAGTTCATCACATAGATTGATTTCATCGTCAACCGGATGTGCTGCTTCATCGTCAACCGGATGTGCTGCTTCATCTTCAACCGGATATGCTGCTTCATCTTCAAACGTATGTGCTGCTTCATCTTTAACCTTGCTAATCAGGGTAAACTCGCCAGTATCATGATTATAAAAGCCATGTTTCCAATTTTCAGGCACACGAACTAGGATTGGTTCAGTAGTATCAGCACTGCTAGTACCAAGATTCCCACTGTTCGCAGCACTACTAGCACAACGATTACCACCACCGGCCTGACGCTTTCCTTTCCGAGTATTCGGCGTAGTATGCGTAGTAGATGTAGTAGGCGCACTTGGTATGACCACCTGTCTGTGAGACTGCGCACTAATGCCAGTAGCAGCAGTAGTAGCACTGTGCGAAGTAGTATGTGTGTAGTACGTGTATTCCGAGTTCTATCGCTTGTCCGAAGCATAACAGGTGGAGGCAATGGTGGTCCCGTTAAACTTGCCTGTGTACGAGACTACGCACTACCAGTAGAAGTAGCACTGTGCGGAGTAGTAGGAGCACTACGAGTCTTACGACGTACCAATATCTCAGGGCTGTTATTATCTGGTGTCAAGACTGCCTGTGTACGAGACTACGCACTACCAGTAGAAGTAGCACTGTGCGGAGTAGTAGGAGCACTACGAGTCTTACGACGTACCAATATCTCAGGGCTGTTATTATCTGGTGTCAAGACTGCCTGTGTACGAGACTGCGCAATACTAGCAGTAGTAGCAGTGTGCGGAGTAGTACGAGCACTACGAGTCCTTACGACGTGTCGATATATCAGGGCTGTTATTATCTGGTGTCAAGACTGCCTGTGTACGAGACTGCGCACTACCAGCAGTAGTAGCACTGTGCGGAGTAGTACGAGAACTACGAGTCCTACGACGTGTCGATATCGCAGGGCTGTTATTATCTGGTGTCAAGACTGCCTGTGTACGAGACTGCGCACTACCAGCAGTAGTAACACTGTGCGGAGTAGTACGAGAACTACGAGTCATACGACGTGTCGATATCTCAGGGCTGTTATTATCTGGTGTCAAGACTGCCTGTGTACGAGACTGCGCACTACCAACAGTAGTAGCACTGTGCGGAGTAGTACGAGCACTACGAGTCCTACGACGTGTCGATATCTCAGGGCTGTTATTATCTGGTGTCAAGACTGCTTGTATACGAGACTGTGCAATACCAGCAGTAGTAGCACTGTGCGGAGTAGTACGAGCACTACGAGTCCTTACGATTATCACTGTGCGGAGTAGTAGGAGCACTACGAGTCCTACGACGTGTCGATATCTCAGGGCTGCTATTATCTGGTGTCAAGACTGCCTTTGTAGGTTGACTATGTCTCGGAGGGTGCTGGGCAGCAGAAGTGGTAGCACGGTAGTAGTAGTTCCGCGCGTAGTACTACGACTACCACCAGTAGGTTGACTATGTCTCGGAGGGTGCTGGGCAGCAGAAGTGGTAGTAGGGGCATCGGGTAATGATGTTGGCGATTGTGGGGGTGAGCCGGATATTGGTGTCCCTTGGTTTAATATATGAAGCCCCACTGTACCTCCGGTAGCAACCGCGAAGCTCTCAACCGTGTTATAGTGTATGGTGTTAGTTGGCTACAACAAACCATCGTTCGCATCCTGGTATGATTGCTCCTCGCACCGGGACAAATAAAACCGTGGCGTTGCGGTTCGACCATTGTTCGTTCTTAAACGACCGAATTTGTACGGTCGTTCACGACTACCGTCTCCTCCCGCAGATATATGGAAGTCCTCTTTGCGGAAATGGATACAGCATACATGGGGATTTTTGACGCTCCTGAGATATGGCCCTATTCCATGAGTCTCTATGTGGCGCAATTTAAACTGCACCAGTCTGTTTCTGAAGAACTCGCCATGCTTCATGTACACAGCGTCGGCTACAACAAAGCATTTACACACACTACGGGTGTCCGGCATATTGTATTTTTGGTTGTTTTTAGAAAAGCTACAGTAATTTTATAAACAAATGTCAGAGTGGTTGGAATTGTCAAACATGTCCTACGAATATATATACTGTAAATTATTATACAAAATAGTAGTAGTAGTACCAGGTGTAATAGAAGCGTTGGGTGTGGCGCTAGTTTGACAACACAACATCGTTGGATGTGGTAGGAGTAGTAGTATAATACGTAACTGGCCTTCTACAGGTGGTAGGAGTAGCGCTAGTTTGACACCACAATATCGTTGGGTGTGGTAAGAGTAGTAGAATAATACATAGCTGGCCTTCTACAGAATCAAGAACTGAAAAGATATATAATTGCAGATGTCGAGTTGTTTGGAGTAGCACGAAATTGAATTGACACCACAATATCATTATTTGTCGTAGGAGTAGTAGTACAATATTTACATAGCTGGCCTTCTACAGAATCAAGTTAAAATTGCAAATGTAGAATTGCTTGGAGTAGCGCGAAATTGAATTGACACCACAATATCATTATGTGCCGTAGGATTAGTTAGCTGGCCTGAGGATCATTTTGAGACTCGTGTGTATTAGTTTATATTTATATTACACATTTATATTTATTTAGTGCTGTAACCCTAAAAAACCCCCCCTGAAGATTTGAGCCTCCGATAAGAAAGTTTGCTACCATTCAGAAAAAGTTTGCTACCTTACGTAAAAAGGTTGCTACCTCAAGTAAAAAGTTTGCTACCTCAAGTAAAAAGTTTGCTACCTCAAGTAAAAAGGTTGCTACCCCGAGTTTACAACACCATAATGTTTTAGATTAAAAAATCGACTACCTCAAAGTTGGTAGAAATATAAGTGCAAGTAGGAAATCTAAATAAACGACAAGTTCTTTATTACTTTAAATTTTTTTGAGCAAATATAAACAATTGCCAACCGACAGTCCTCTCTCGTGTTATATTTATTGAAATAGTAGTAAATAGTAATAGTAGTAAAAAGTAGTAAATACATTGCAGGGTAGTAGAAGTGGTACATTGCAGGATAGTAGAAGTAGTACATTGCAGGGTAGTAGAAGTAGTACATTGCAGGGTAGTAGAAGTAGTACATTGCAGGGTAGTAGAAGTAGTACATTGCAGAGTAGTAGAAGTAGTACATTGCGCACTATGCACAGAAGGCGTGGTCATCTATCGACCATTCGAAGCATAGTATCGCGCGTATCTTGCTTGTCATAGTAGCGTAATGTTTTCATGATAGTTGGGGTTGAAGAACGATGAAGTTCGTCATAGCAATCGTTGTAAGCATCGTTGGTCCACTTGTCGAGTAGATCGGCTCGAAGGTCCTTCAGAGTCGGTGAGTTTGGCAAGTTTAAGTTATGCCGCTTAAGATTTTGTAGTACTTGCGTGTCAGACATAATGTTCACCATGTACTGTAACCCAATCCCCAATTCCGCTGCTATATGATTGATTTGCTGATTCATTGGTCTCGGCTTCAATGAGTGAACTTTCAATGTGACAATTTCTAGTGTCAAAGGGATTCTCTTCGCCATCCCAATCATAACAAGTGTCACATTCTACAGATGTATAGTTATGCTGACCATCTCCAACCTGATATTCATACTCTTCTACTTCTTCTACTTCGGCAGCATCATCAACATTGGGCATTGGATTGCCAACATATGGTCTATAGGCTTCTACCCTCACAACATCTCCTACTTCTGCATCGGTAAGTCTATCTTGCTGACTCTGCCAGTACATGGTTTTCTCTACAAATTTTTGTTTGTTGATAGTATGATGTAACTTATTTTACGTTTGTCCACCATTAGATTGAGATAGTTCTTATTTCTTCTTCGTAATTCAGACTTGGTGTATTCCTTCTTGCCTTCTAGGAGAATCAAATAGCAAGATTGTATACGAATGTGTACATGAACGAATATATAGATATATATATATACTACAACGGCTACTACTGCTACTACATCTGCTGGTACTACTACTACATCTGAACTATTACTACTATTGATACTAT